TATTTTATTGTTTTGTTTTTTATCTTACTTGCTTTTCCGGTTGTATTTTATTGTCTTGTTTTTTATCTTACTTGCTTTTCCGTAGTATTTTATTGTTTTGTTTTTTATCTTACTTGCTTTTCTGTAGTATTTTATTGTCTTGTTTTTTATCTTACTTGCTTTTCCGTAGTATTTTATTGTCTTGTTTTTTATCTTACTTGCTTTTCCGTAGTATTTTATTGTCTTGTTTTTATCCACAAGATTAAAGCTTCATATTTGTGCTTTGGAAAGAAACGTTCTTAAGTATAATGTAAGGTATGAAATACAACTTGAAACCTAACTTTGTATATCATACATATCAGTGTATTACTATTTTATGTTAATGTAACATTGTCTTGTATTTCGTATATATTGTTTATACAGAGGTTCAGTACGTTATATTAAAATAATTAACAAGTCACCTGACAGTCACAGCCAATATAAAATCATGATGGAAAGGCACGTATGAGAGGTACATTTTGACATTGTTTGGAATTTTGTACACATTGTGATGCCAAAAAAACAGCCATTTCTGATACAAAATATTCATACACTTGTATCATAAAGATGATATCCCTTGTACCCTAATGATATTGGAAACTAAAGGAATAGAGATCAATTTAGGGCACCATGAACACACATTGGAAATCATGGTGTCTGTCTGAGTGTTCATCTGCCCCCCCACTTTTATGGTGGATGCTTCCCAAGTTTAATTTCGCAAGCAAGATATTTTACAAGTTATTAGAAATTAATCACACTATAATTCACATTTCAAAATGTGATGTAATTTACAGAATAAAACTGTCGGTTTATCATATGTTATTCTTGATCGGCTCTTAGCATGACTGAAATGCTCAACAATTACTTTTCACGGTGAGCGGTATAAGTAGCTCAGAGCTTTGGTTCTGAGTGTAACATAATTAACCTTTTTTAGTCCATGAAATAATTCAAATTGATAGATTAACTTAAACTTTTCCCATCACTGGGGATGGGTACTTTTGCTTGTAGTCAAATATGACAGTTTTGAAACTTTATACAAGGATTCATAATCATTGCTGGATATTCTACTGGGAACAACTTATGTATCAAATTATTAGATGCAGAGGTCAAGGAAAACTATTAGACCAATGTTCTTGACCCTTTGTACCATATAGAAATACCTGCTTTGTATGGAAATAAAGCCAACAGGGTATAGGTTTACCAAGATACGGCTTCCAATCATACCTCCTATTCAACTGTTACAAACCCTTGAGCAACTGGAAATTAAAATAAGTATTCATGCAATAACATATGAAGATGTATCATTTAAGTTGTTGGATGCAGAGCCAGTAGATTTCTGTGCAATAAAACTGATGAAACTGGTGCTAGGAAACCATTATCTTCCTACACAAGATGGATTATGGAAAGCAAACATGGTGTATTAGTATGCTTTGGATGTGAAATCCTTACAGCAAAGCCTTTTGCAGTGGAAAATATGCCTTGGGCTATTGTCAAGATGCAAAGTCATCAGATATAACACGACCGTATGTGGTGACATGCACTTTAATGATGTGGTGAGGCTCCAAAATCATTTTGATATAAGGTACTCAACACTCTGTATGGTTGATGTTTCAAATATAGTTATTAGTGATGTGCAAAAATTTACCAGAATGATGTTATTGTTATAGCTGGCTTAAAATTAAAGGAAACTTCATATATACTTCATAATTCTACTTTATACTTCCTTAAAACAATATTTCTTAAGCCTAGTATTGACACCTATCCACTTCACCATAGCAGTAAGTATGTAAAGGCAAAAATATGTCTGTTTTATAGATTTAAGATGAATCTTAAGAATAAATCTTATTGTGTCTAATAAAATTTTTGTATTTTATCGGAGTATATGGTATATTTCAGTTTTTCCTGAAAGCAACTCAGCTGGGTCAGATGTGTCACGATTACGATACTGCTGATGAACAGAAAATAATTACTATCGACATTCTTTCCATTAAAGAAGAAGTAAGGGACTGTTTAAGTGAACTGTACTTTTGTGGTATTAATTTAAATTTTCTTTCACGTCCATCAGTATGAAACAGAGCAGCTGACCATTATTACTACTACATTTGATAGCACAATAGTTAAGTAACAGTGAACATTTAACATCATAGTTGAATAACGGCAGAACATTTAACATCATAATTAAATAACAGTAGAACATTTAACATCATAATTAAATAACAGTGAAACATTTAATATCATAATTAAATAACAGTGAAACATTTAACACCATAATTAAATAACAGTGAAACATTTAACATCATAATTAAATAACAGTGAAACATTTAACATCATAATTAAATAACAGTGAAACATTTAACACCATAATTAAATAAGAGTGGAACATTTAACACCATAATTAAATAACAGTAGAACATTTAACACCATAGTTGAATAACGGCAGAACATTTAACACCATTCAAGCAGATAATGTTATATAAATGTGGAAAGTGATAAATATAGAGCATTAAACTCTGTATTAAAATAAAATTAAAAATAACTTAGTGTGATGCACTATGCTAACAAATGAATAATTGGTTTTTCGTTAAGTAAATGATTTGTTTACTTTCTTTTTGCAGTATATATATATCAAGTTACATCCATTGTATTTATACCTAAAGAGGTTTTTAATAATATTTTTTATCTACGTATGTATTATGAAGGTTTTATCTATTTTTTAGTTACATATTTCTAGTTACTTTTAAACATCAAATGTTTTTTCTAATTCTTTCCGTTCTTTTGTATTCATTTTTAAAGCACTTCTTTTTTTTACTGTATTGATTTTTTTTTCTCTATCTATAACCTAAGTCACATGAAGTCACTAATCTTTTTCAAAACCAATTTTAAAGCCATGTGTGGTCAAGGTGGATTATCTTCAGTAACTGTAATAGCCCTAAAGATGGCTTAACTAACTTTTACATTTCAAATTCATTTTACTTTTGTGGAAGAGAAAGTCTACCTTCAGAAAGTAATGAATATGAAGCGAAGCTGTCACTAATGAAGAGTAACTTAGTGGGTTGTAGTGAATTTGACTTCTTGAAGAGAGTCATGATTTTGTGTCTTGTTTTGACTATGATCTCTGACGGTTCAGCAGTAAGTTTACAGACTTACGACTCCAAAATCCAGGGTTCGACTCACAGCAGATAGCACAGTGTGTCCTTTTATTAAAACAAATTGTTCTAAATAAATTGGAGTCAAATGTCTCTTATAATCTGTGTGTACACTTTTTAAAGTTATTGAAAATATTTTAACATTTTCATCTCTAGAACTTCAAAGTGCTTGAGAAAGAAGTAAAAGAGTGGGAAAAGAAATGGCAATTCCATCAATCACTGGACCAACAACGTCAGAAAATAGACAAGTTAAAGAAGGAAATTGCATGGGCTTACATCACTGAGCTTGAAAGGGTATTTAATATGATATATAAATATAAAATCAACTCATTGACCTTAAATAAATTGTAAATTGTTGTAAAATTTAAACTATTAAAATTGTTAGAAATCTTGTGCTAGCTACCAATTTGAGTGTTTATTTACACATATGAGTAGAGAAGAAGTTATTTGTAAATGAGATATCCTTGCTAAGCCTTATGACTTGAGATATCGTTGCTAAGCCTTACAACTTGAGATATTCTTGCTAAGCCTTACAACTTGAGATATTATTGCTAAGCCTTATGACTTGAGATATTCTTGCTAAACCTTACAACTTGAGATATCCTTGCTAAGCCTTACAACTTGATATATCCTTGCTAAGCCTTATGACTTGATGTATCCTTGCTAAACCTTACAACTTGAAATATCCTTGCTAAACCTTACAACTTGAGATATTCTTGATAAGCCTTATGACTTGAGATATCGTTGCTAAGCCTTACAACTTGAGATATCCTTGCTAAGCCTTACAACTTGAGATATTCTTGCTAAGCCTTACAACTTGAGATATCCTTGCTAAACCTTACAACTTGAGATATTCTTGCTAAGCCTTACGACTTGAGATATCCTTGCTAAGCCTTACGACTTGAGATATCCTTGCTAAGCCTTACGACTTGAGATATTCTTGCTAAGCCTTACAACTTGAGATATCCTTGCTAAACCTTACAACTTGAGATATTCTTGCTAAGCCTTACGACTTGAGATATCCTTGCTAAGCCTTACGACTTGAGATATCCTTGCTAAGCCTTACAACTGTGCTGAACATGTACATAGGTGTAAATATTTAGAATTAATGTGCCTAGAAAAAAGATTAATTTTGAAGAATAAGACTCTTTGTATTATTTTCTTCTTTAAAGTGAAATAATCTACATTTATTTAATCTTTGTTTTACACAGTTTTATTAGCTATAAACTTGTGCCAGTGATATAATATGAAGAAAATCTTTCTCGTTGCATATTTATCCATCTTCAATTGTTGATATTTGGAACATCTAAAAAAATTTCATGACAGGAATTTAGTTTTTAAAGGAAAGAGACTTTCCTCAACTGGAGTGTTCAGGGATATTGTTATCCCCTTTGCCTCATACTATTACAATTACAGGCTAAAACCTTTTATAGAATATTGAGACACCTTGGTTCAAAAAGTTTAAGTAGTTTTTACCCTGTCTGGAATTTATTTATTATATAAATCTATTTACATTTCTATTCAGTTTTTTGTTTACAGTTAAAACATTTTTCTTAAAAAAAAATAGTTGATGTTTTTGAGTTTTGTTTCTCTGTTTGCTATTAAACATATAGTGATTGAATGGGGTATCTTTATAGTCCCCACCATGAGTATAAATACCTGATTTTTAGTATTAAAGCCCTCTGAGTGGCATTGTTTTTAAGTAAAGCATTACTTTTACTTACATCTTCTTCTGTCTTGTATTGAATCATTTTCAATGACAACTTTATTCAAGGTATTTATGCAGGATTTGAAGTTAGTGTGTGTGTACATTCAGTTGTATAGACTTTTTACAACACCCAAAAACGTCTGAAGTTTTGAGCATCCCTCAGTATTTAGGTGTAACTAAATTATAGTCTGTTACTAATGCGGACTTATAATGCTATAAATTGAGTATCAATACCTGTTTTAGGCTCAGCACAACTAGCCCATTGTGTAATTTTGTGCCGAACAACAAAAAACTTGATATGTTTAAATTAAGTTCTTGATGAATATTTTTTCATTGATTTTATAAAGAACGTTGAAGAACTGTTGAAAACCTTCACAAGAGAAGACAGAAGCACTCCAAAGTATGAAGAAAAAGTTCAGGAACAAGAGGTTGGAATATTTACTAATGAAGAAATTTGGAAATTCATGGTGTTAGGAAAATAAGTTAAATAATCAGTTAATCCATTCGCTGCAGCTGGGATGTACATTTCCCAGTGTGCTCCCACCCCCCTCACACTGCAGCTGGGATGTACATTTCCCAGTGTGCTCCCACCCCCACCCCCCCTCACACTGCGATTGGGACAAATGTTTCCCATTGTTGATGCTAAAATTTTGAACGACAATGGGAAACATTTATCCCAGTTGCAGCGTGAGGGTTAAAGACTAAGATATGAAACCCATGCTCAGGTTTCATGCTTTTGTCGATTGTTGAAGCTAACTTGTTAAAACTCATTAGAATAGAGTCAAATTATAAATTTTTCTGTATGTCACTATTTCCTGCTTATGTTTACGACGTGAACTTCTGATGTAAACGGACATAAATAACGTACAATTCTAGCATCATAGTATGAGATAATAGTTTTCGTTGTATTCATTAAATCTGTCGTACATCTTTAAACTGTCTTTCTTTTTCAGAGCCCGAGAAACAAAATTTGTTTGAAATAATAAAAACTTTCCGTTTTTCTGAATCGTACAAAATGTGGAACTCTGTACTTCGTATTAAAATTTTGATATTTGTGAATTTTTTAATTTTCGAAATTTTTATAGAAAAGGTGTATGAATATTCAGTTACAGCAACTTGTGCGATAAATCTTACAAATAAAACATGATCAACGTTTAAAATACACAATGAAATTTTATTTGGCTGATGGCCAAAATTAAAAGACTACATCGTTAGTGTAAAACTACTGAAACAGATACAGTCTTTTAAGTTTGGCTGTTGGCCAAATAAAATTCTATTGTGTATTTTAAATGTTGATCATATTTTTATTTTTAAAAGTGTATGGTTAGTGTAAGATACAAAAGTCAATGTATATTAGCTACATCGAGCTAAATAAACGATGTTAACTCTTGAATGAAATTGTTTTCCATCATAAAATACAGTGCAGTGTTACAAGAATATTATCTGAAGCTGGAAATTATATATTGAATTAATATTGGTCATGAGTTTGCTCTGAAGTTATAAATAACTCAAGATTTTTTTTTGTTTCGTTTCATATGAAATAATTACATTTTATATGATTATTTTCAAATTGGTGGAGATTTAAAAAAAATGTAAGTCGAAGTTTAAATAATTAGTTATTAGAATTTGACCAAATAAATCATTTCTTTGTAGGCCACTGAAACTTTCATACAAAACAACGTAGCAATGTAAGATCTACTGTTAATTTTCCATAAATATGCAGTTTAAAATATTATTTTTTTTCTCATGTTTTCATAGTCTAAACTAAACAAAATAAGTCATCGCAGAGAAGA